GTGGATGGGACTGAAGAGATAGCCACTTTCTCTCCTTCCTTCTTTCTTTCTACCTGTGTTTTAGGGTTAGCCTTACATTATATGGTGCATGTAATTCTGCATTAATACCTGAGTCGCTTTAAGCTTCAGGGCAGCACAGGGATTTTCTACCTAAAAGAAACACAAATTTATTCTTATTTTTAGGAAGATAGGTTTAATGATTCAGCAACTATGAAACTGTCCTTAGCCACATCATCCTTCCTCATCCCTCCCGAGGAAATAAATTTGCTACTTGCCAGGATCCCTCCAACAGTACAATGCTGGTAATAAGAGAGGAATCAGTTCATAAACAATCCTTGGAGTCAGAGAAGTACCTTCACCCTGGCATGTCATTTCTCAAAATGCCACCTGATGGAGGTGGCCTGCTTAGAATAGTATCATCAGGGCCCCACGCTCAAGGTCAAGTTTATTAAAAAAAGTAAAGAGCCTCTCCTGATGGGATGAGGTATGGAAGGAGGGACTGCTAAAAGCAGAATCACTTGGAAAATAGGGAGGAGTCATGGGAGGCTTCCTTGAACAAAGAGAGAGACACAGAGACAGAGAGAGACAGTCAGAGAGAGAGTGTGCCCCATCTCAGGTGCCCTGACCTCTCTACCACCAACGCCCAGGAAGATTGATGAAGAGGGTGTAGTGACCTCTCCTGCTGGACTATGGACATGCCTGTGGACTCTAAACACAGCAACATCTTCTGCAAGTAAAGGCTTTCCTCACAGAAGCATTTTGTTCCCCCCTAGACCCATGCCTGATGTGGAGGAAGAGCATAGTGGTTTCTCTAAACCTCGCTGGAATAACTGCATAGCTTTGATACTCGCCCCTGACTGCTGCTCAGTAAGCCCATCAACTACTGGTCATAAAAACCTATGCATCACAAAGGGCATTTTCTTAGACTACGTAAGAGCTCAGAGAAGTATTGCTAACACAAAATTAAGTGAAATAGATTTCAAGACTTAAGGGCAATATGAACACAATTATGGTGAATAAAAATTTTGCCTTATTGCAGTTCAATTCATAATTGCCAAGTTGTGGAAGCAACCTAAGTGCCCATCAACCCATGAATGGTTCAACAGACTGTGGTATATGTATACCATGAAATATTATTCACCTATCAAAAAAGATCTTACAAGGGTACATGTGAAATTTACTAGGTTTAGAATATAAACGTCTTAACACAATAACTAAGAAAATGCTTTGAAGGCTATGTTAACCAGTTTGATGAAAACATTTAAAATTGTATATAAAACCAGCACATTGTACCCCATGATTGCATTAATGTACACAGCTATGATTTAATTTAAAAAAAAAGGAAACTTTACATCTTTTACATTTACCTGGATGGAGTTGAAATACATCATCTTCTTAGTAAAGCATGGCAAGAATGGAAAAATAAGTATCCAATGTACTCCATACAAATATGAAACCAATCTATAAACAATCACATACTCATAAGTACAATAAACTACTAACATAGGCCAGTTCAAGGGTAGAGAGAAGTAGGAGTGGGGAGGGGAGAGGACGTTTGGCAGAAGGAGGGAGGGCATGAGCTGGAATCTCACCAAATGTGCACATTACGAGAGAGTGTAAAATGCCCCCTGGGTGAGGGGCTCTTCTAAAATGGAAGTTTACCCTGGAAGTGAGAACAATGTAACCTAAAAATTGTACCCTCATATTAATTTGAACAAATAAAAAAATACTCAAAATAACCCCAAACAAACAAACAAACAAACAAACCCCTGTGCATAAATACCTGTGTGGAAAGCAGGCACAGTCCAGGTGCCCTGTGCTTCTGTAGCTTGCTGTAGTTTCCAGAGTGCTATTGCAGGTGTTGGCTACTTAAAGACTACCCTTGAAATAAAAAGTGAAGGGATGATTATCTTCATCTTCAAAGTGAGGAAACCGAGGCACAGATAGGTTAGTGTCTTGCCAATGCTGTAAGTGGTAAAGCTGGGACCAGAAGGCAGGATTTTAGCATTTCTAGGACAGCCCTCTTTCTACGTGAGACCCTTGCCTTTCCTCACACGTAGTGGGGTATACTTCTTAACATTTTTATTTCCTTTATCATCCTTTATATACTAGAGCTTCCTCAATGGTGAGATAAGGATCATGCTAGGGAGCCACGGCACAAAATAAAGAGCATATAGGTTTGAAAAAGCATATAGACATTATAAATTAAAGCAGCATCACTGTTAACTCTCTAGGCTCCATTTTCCAATCAGTTTAAATTACTTTAATGTATGTTTTTAAACTCAAAATTAGCTGTAATCCCAGTATCTAACTGTCTTAATGCCTGGCGAATTGCACTATGTCATTTCCTTTTAATTTGCCTCCTTTCCCAGCATAGCTCACATTCTGGCACATGCATCCTGGGACTGTCTTCTCAGGTCCCATCATTTCGAAAGGGGAGTTCTCTCCTTTTACATTTTATAGAATAATTCTTATACCTTAAGGGCATATATCACTTGCATACAAATAATTCACTGGAAAACTTTTCTTCAAAGTCTTTTAATGTAATAATTCCTCATAGCTTGACTCAAATAAAGTCACATCATAGTGAAAGTAAAGAACACAGATTGGGAGCTGTGTCTCATCTGGTGGTGGCCACCCTTTAGTTTCGAGGTGGAAGACGACAATGAGCACACAGGAGAATGACATGAGGGTGTCAGACTGGAGCTGTGGGGACACTGGAACAATCCAAACTCATTTGCAAAGGAGAGAGAAGCTTTTGGCGTAGACACTTTCAATCAATAGCCAAGCAACCCAGAAAAATTAATTTGAATGAAGTTATTTTCCTATGAGGACGCTATAAAAAGACATGTTTCAAAAAAGCCTGGGCTCAAACATGATCATGTTCTTCCTGATCAGAGAAAAATAACTAGGTCTAATTGACAATTCTGAAGCACAGAGAAGATTGGACGTTTACTAAAAACATCTCTGTCAATCAAAGCTAGGTTAAGCAATGTCACTGTGATGGCTTCTTTCCATGTCTTCTGCAAGTGGCAGGTTCATCCTATCACATCCATCATGCTTTACAAGGAAACCACTCGAACACAGCACTCATTACTTCATGATAACCAAAGTCTTCTAGAACAGACTTATTTGGATTCTAAATGATTGAAAAAAATAGATTCATGTGATTTGCACCATAATATGTCTTCTTAGCCATATTACCATATGCCCACTACCATATCTTATTCCAAACCAGACAGGCTTAGGGAAAAAAGCTGGTAAGAAAAAGGCAGATGGGAGAATGAGTGTGTGCACAGGTGTGCACAGATCGGTTCCCGCTGCCACAGGAAAGGTGCATGATTAACACCCCCCCTACTCCATTGCCTCTCCCATTGGCCATCTGACCTGGCAGAATCTGCACCATGAGCTGTGTTAGCATCCTCTTTACGGGGACTTCACGGGGCCAGGCTTTCATGGCCTAGATGTGTGTGAGAGGTGAGCTGGGCCAGCCACACACATATTTCTTGTTTCCTCATTTTCACCTGTTAGCTCATTCTCTAGTTTTTCCCTTTTCTATCACTTGCCAAAATTCGACCTCAGGCACAGATGGTGCGAAAATGATTTTTGGCTACCACGCCAAAGAAAGTGCCCAAATATTAATAGTTATTTATCTAGCAACAGAACTTGAGACTTAATAAACTAAGGCTTGGATTTCCAGTGCTAGCATCTACATGTGTGGAGTGCTTCATTTATTTTAAACATTGCTTTTAATCACATTGAGTTGATATGCACAGAGCGCTTCAGTATGCTGAATATCAGCGGTCATCTGGAATATTAAGTCCGTGGCGAGAGCATAGATTGTCTCTGTTAATAGCGCTTGCCTCTGCATTCTAATTGGCTGCAGTTGTTCTCTCCTCTTTCGTCCTTACCCACCTCCAGGATTCAGAAATATAAAGGCCCCTGAAAGGATACTTTTTAAAATGGTCTGAACAACCCCGAGGTTGTCAAATGGCTGCTTCAGTGCTCTCTGTATTAAATGTTATTTCTATTGCCTAAAAAAGTCTAGGGGAGTACAAGTTTGGTTCTGATTACATAATTATGCTACAAAAATATGGAAAAAAAATCATCACTAAAACCCTCCAGGTGCTTAAACAGTTTGATAGACTGTAGCCATTCTGCCATCAGCGCCCCCAGCTGTGTTGCTTAGCAACATTTTAATTCCAGAAGAATCGAAGGAGATGAAATCCCTGTGGAGAGGGAAACAGAAATAAGAGGGCTGTTGACAGATGATCTGAGTTGTTTCTTCTAATATACTGTGAAGATCACTAGCTCTTTTCATGAATGATAAATGGACTGTACACAGATCAATGGGTTCAGCAATAAACTGGAACCAGGCTCCATGTCTAAGGCGACGTGGGCCGAGAGGCCTAGAGATTTCCTCATTTTGATGATTTGCTGTGTATTTTCTTAAAGGCTCTACAGGAGGAAATTGATCTCAGTATTTGGCCATCCTTTGCCCTTTTGTGGTGTCTGCTAATAAAAATGATTTCGGAATGAACACTTTGGCCTTTCTATCACAGTGCAAGTGTGGCCAGGTGTCAATAGTAATGTTAGGGTGAATGGTTCCTGACCACAAATCTAAAAATCCAGGATATGCCCACGACCATTCCCTCCGCACCTGCCTCCCCAGCCTGTCGCTATAACCCAGTCAGGCCCACATGGGCTGAGATAAGAGTGGAAGCAAGGGAGAGGAGGACCTAGTGGGACGGCGAAGAGCCCACCGGCATGGCTCCTCACAATGGCCGGCTGTGTTGGAATGCTGCGCTCGGAGAGGTACCTGCAGCCCCCAGGAGAGGAAAATTGCTTTCTCTGTCTCCAGTCTGCTTATCTACAGCAGTCTGCTTCGGTTCCTCCTTCTGTTCCTGAAGAGCATTTCACATTGTTATTGTTTGGGGAACTCGCTGTAATGATTATGCCTGCTAATGTTGTCTAACTGCATTTTTTTCTTTTGTTTACAGGCTGTTGAGAAGGCAAAACCTAGGAACAATCCTGTGAAGTAAGTTATTATTTTTTTTTTGGTTGGAAATGTTCATTTTAATGGATGCTGTGAATGTGAAAAAACAAGGTCATAAAAAAGACCTTGGATTTTGAGTTAATCTCTATTCATGACAATTTGAAGAGAAAAACAAAACAAGCAACAAAACCTTGCAATGTAGCAGGGATCAGCTTATATTTTTTGCCTGTGTTCCTGATGAGGAAATGCCCCAAGTTGTACCCAGTTTACATAAATTAATATGTGCTGTCCATGAATAGCTGCCAAATGCTATTATAATCATATTCAATGCATAGTACTTCAAGCCTTTGGGTTTTGCACATGCTAAAAAGATTACATTTTTAATTGCAAACCTTGGACCTATGACAGAGACGTAAGTGACTGAAAGTGTGCCAAGTGCTTCCCAGCCACGTAGGGAGGTTTGTCACCTTGGCATCAAGGCCTCAGTATTCTGTTAATGAAAAGCTCATAAAAATATATTTAAGTAAAGATATGTTTCTTTTTTCCTAAAAGAGAGTGATTCCCAAGGCATCGTATGGAACGCTCGTAAATCACAAGTTGCACAGCCATCTTTTAAATATAGTACATCTTAGATATTCTGTCTTTTGCAGAAGGGAGACTTTGAAATTAAGAAGGATGTCTATCTTGTCATTTGGGTTTGTGACATCTGATTGCAGCATTACAGAGCATACCAGTCCTGGCAGCCATGAGGCTGAGGGAGGACCAGCTCTATTTGCTGGGTCATTAGAGGTCGGGTAATATCACAAGTCTAGGAACTCTGAGTTAATTTATTTTAGCCGACTTCTGTTATAGCTGGTATCAAGTACAGAAATGGGGCGTGCACTGATTTTTAATGGTTTCTGGGGGAATGCCAACAACTAGGAGGCTGTTTGGTTTTGTAAAAGTATTAACTTTTCCAAGGAACCAGAGTAGTGTTTAGCATACCATTGAATCCAAGCTCTAATACATATTTCCAAAAGGTGTTGTATACTTTGTTTTTAAATTTCACTTTTCTTAGGCTGCAGAACCTTCCCTATCAGGCTGTGTAGCCTCTAGACAGGCATCTGTAGTGTGGGGGTGCATTACTTTACGGTCCTCTGGAAGGATTTGTAGTAGCTGAGTTTGTGTCTGGTCATTCAGTTGGGGTTGAAATCTTCTCTGCAGCCTGATTTCTTTTCCGTTTGCCCTGAAGGCTCCTCCACCGTGAGCCTGTGGCTGATGAGTCTTGAGAATTATGGGATGGTGCTAATGAGGCTAGGGCCAGGACTTTAGTCCCTGGGCGAGCCATTAGTGATCTTCTTTCCCACAGTCTTACTGCACCTCTCCCTCCTGTCTGCCTGCATGCAGATGTGTGCCCCAGGTCACAAGGTGTGGGGCAAGGGCTGGAGAAATGTAAATCTTAGCCCTTGATGAGGCAAACATCTCCAAGTTCCAGCCTCTGCAATAGGCAGTAGGTCCTGAGCTCCATCTTGGCATGCACAGGACAGCCCATCGGCAATGTGGGGGGCTGCATTAAATTGTATTCTAATGGCCTGGAAGCAGGGCCAGTTTTCCCTTTGCTCCTTGTAAGAATCTGACTGTATAGTAATTGTATTTTTATGAGTTCTTGTTAATTCACAGTGCAGACTCTATCTAATGTTTAGTGCTTTAAGGAATGTTATAGGAAGAAGACAAGAAAACTAGAAGTGTCAAAGGATTGTGGAGCTTTTTCACCTTGAAGTATATTTGAACATCTGATTAGTAATAAACCTAAGTCAGACCTAACTGATAGGTGTTGAGAATTGTCTTCTAATTAAGAAAGATATTGTTCCCAGTGTGCGTTTGAGTGTCCTGTGGCATTTGTGCTCACATGCCTAAACTCAGCCCCACGCTCCATGGGCACTTGCAGATGAGAATCTTTCTCAAGACCTCAGCTTAGGGACAGAAACTCCAGAGCATAGATCAGTTACACTGCCTGATGGAAGAGCAAGGTTGCAGTTGTTACAAGGTTTATATATAATGGTCCTCTTGCCATTTCTGATGTCTTCACAGAAATTTTCAGTTGCAGACAATGTACTAGGATCCTAAATAAAGATTTGATACATATTTTTTTTTTCTGGAAGAAGGAACAAACAAGTGAATAAATTGGACACATTCCAAGAAATAGTCCTTCCAGGAGCCTGGCCTGGGGGCTTACTAAGGCTGGTGGCTCTTCTCTAGTATAGTGTCACCATCTGACCTGTGTGTTGTAACTGAACAAGTTGCTTAGTCTCTGTTATGTAAAAATGCTCTCACGTGGCTCTAGCTGCTGACCAGTTCCTTGTTTGATCTTATATGCAAGAATTAACATTTGATTTTCTTTTTGACCATGCAATGCAAAGTGTGTACAGTGTTGCTGGAAAGCTGAGGTCCAGTGGCATCATTTACAGATGAAATATTGAAACAGATTGGTGAAGATGATCATATGTGTGGTTTGATATAGTCCTTTAGTGCACAGTTTGGAAATGGTTAGGGAAGAAAATCACAAAAGAAAAAAATTCATGACATGTGAAAATTATATGAAATTCAAATTTCAGTAACTATAAATAAAGTTTTATTGGAACATGGCCACACTCATTCATTTCCATATTGTCTGTGAATGCTTTTGTGCTACAATGATAGAGTTGAGTAGCTGCTACAGCCATAGCCTATAAAGCCAAACATTTTTACCATCTGGCCTCTTATGGAAAGTTTGCTGACTCTAGTTGGTCAGGTAGAAAAAGGCACTAAGCTTTTTTGTGATGCTGAAGGTTAAGCTATCCATTCTTTCTCTTACTGGCCTTTAAAATAATGAGTAGATATTTACTAAGCCCTTCCTGTGTATTCAGGACTTTCTGGAGTACATGTGCCACCCAATTCTCATTCAGAGCAAAGAGACTTACTTTTTACTCATTGCCTTTGGAAATGAGATTCATTCAGTGAGCAGTGAAGCCTCAGAAACCAGTCAACACGCATCTACAGCATACTGCTAGTCTTCCGAGTTCCGTGCAGATAGATATATTTCAAAGGACGTAGAGATTTTCTACAATTCTGTTACTTTCACATCTAAGGCTAAATAAGCTTTCAATTAGGGTGATAGTAAATGAGTCACAGTATCCATTTGGTTTGTATATCTGCCTCTGTAAAATTTCACCTCCCTTTTCCTATTTTCCAACCACTTGTTCAATTTATTTTTAATACCTTCATGCTTGTAAGCCTCTTTCATCACCATAGGGAGGCTGTGGTAGACACTAATTACGTTCCATATAAAGGAGAAATTAAATATATGCCCGGTGAATGTAAGCGCATAATGTACCTGGATACACTAATGGCTTTCCCTTGAAACATTAAATATTACCTCGGAGGGGAAGACTCCAGTGTGAATGTTCTTAATGACAGTGAGCAGGATAAGAGAAGCCTGGCCTATTTCTCACTACATTGGAACCATACTGGTATCAAAGCTTGATTAGCATGTTCAGACTGTGGATCTTTAATGTGTTAGAGAGACTTTCACTTGTATGTTAATGTTGTACAGCAATCATCTCCAAGATTTCATTATGACAGCAAGGCCTGAGAGATGTACAGATTTCTTCTACCATATGTGACTTATCACATACATTTTTAAAAAAACACATTTCTGTTATTAAGACATATGTGATAGTACACTTCTTAAAATGTGAATTGCTTTTGGCTAAAAGCCATGCACTAATAAGTCGAGTTGAATCTAACCAAGGTTGACATCTGTTGCCGAGAGAGAGAGACAGAGAGAGAGAGAGAGAGAGAGAGAACACACATAAAATTCTTCTTTGCTTTTTATACTTTACCAACATTAAACAATGCTGTGGTTGTCTTGAACAAATCAGGATCAGAATCCACTGTGCTTAGGAAATTACATTTTGATTTAGGAACAGATTCATCTTAAAGATATGGTGTTTTCATTATTGAAAATGACAAATTTTCACGAAGATTTTTCCTGACTATGTTTGCACATTATTCATTTATTCATCCAATGAATATTTATTTAGTTTCCCCAACATTCTGGGAACTGTGATAGAGGCTGAGGGAATTAAAAAGAAATCTGACACAGGTTTTACCCTCGAGGAGTTTAAAGTCCAGTAGGAGAGATAAAATCACTTTGTAAAGAATTAAATACAAGATAGAGAGATGCCTGTTAAGTGGGTAACAGATAAAGTACAGGGATGCTCTAAAAAGAGAAAGTGCTTCTAGTTAACACTATTCCAGGCAGGGGGGAGAGGAGACATTTACACCAGGACTTTCAGGATTGCTGGGTAGAGTCAGTGGTACTGAGGTGTGGCAGAGGGAAGCAAGGAGTCCGGCTGCCTGATGGTCCACAGGGACTGAAAGTTCAGGCTGGAAACTGAGGCCAAGAAGCAATGGTAGCTTAGGGCCCTGGGGGCTCTTCCGGATCAAAGAGCTTCACTTTGTAGAGTCAAATGACATTGAAGAGCTCTTCACTTGTTACTGAATATGAATCATCAATTAGGCCTCTAATTATTAAACATAAACAGAAAGTTGATAGGCCCAGGTTCTAGTCTTGAGTCTGACATTAGCTTGTAGTATGAAATTCAACACATCCCTTTCTTGTTACTGACCTTAGCTAGATTATTTGTATTGTTGTCCTACTTCTTCAAAAAAGCTGCAGCTTAAAAGCCTGTTTTATAAATCCGCTAACTGTAGGACAATATTTGCTCTGTTAGTTTGGTGTAGATTCATGAATGCACATAGCTTATGTATGTGTATGATACGTTTGTGTTTCTCTTCACACTCACATATGCACACTTATCTTTCCCCATCATTTCCACCTTGTACTTTTGTGCAATGAAGTACAACAAACCACTTCATTCAAGTTTTCCAAAGATAGGTTAGGTAGAAGATTAAGTGTAGCTCCAAGGACATTTGGTAGAGCATTTGAAATGGCCCCTATGGGTGGATTTCTCCCTAGTCAGGAATCTCACCCCACCTGTACTCCAGGTGGAATAAAAGCC